CCATACACCCATCCATCAAATTCACCATGGAAGTGGAGAAGGATGGCAAGCTACCATTCCTGGATGTTCTGTTTGAGAAGAGGCCTGACGGCTCGTTGGGACACTATCCACAGGAAAGCCACCCACACAGATTCCTATCTAAAACCTGATTCCCACCACAATCCAGCACAGGAAAATTCCCTCATCAAACACTACACCATAGGGCCCACTGCATCTCCGACCAACACCACCTAGCCAGTGAACTGGAACACGTCCACCAAGCCCTCAATATGAATCGGTACTCGGTCTGCATTATTCGCAAAGCTGTTTCTCCAACCATAGAGAAACAATCTCCTGAGAATCCAATCAAAACCATCACTTCACCATACATAGCAGGTCCAATTCAATACAGTACACAAGATCCGTGATCTAATCCCATCTGTGAAGGAGGTCATTCCTGACATGCAATACCCTGGAGTCTACAAACTGAGTTGTAACTGCAGTCGCAGTTACATTGGGAAAATGAAACGACATGTCTCGGACCATGTTCGCGAACACAAGGCAGATCTGAAACATGGCACAACCAATACCTCTGCCGTAGCTGACCATTGTTATAACGCTGTGGGCTCGCATGATATTGTTTTTTTCCGAGACCAAGGTACTCTGCAAACCTGCGGGCTACTTTCAAAGGTTTCTTCATGAAGCCAGCCAGATATATAAACATAGACAAAACTTCAACCGAGAAGATGGATACAAATTAAACAATCACTGGAAGGATGTTATCAACCAGGTAATGCCTTAACTTGTGTTATTGTTTCCATCATTACCTGGCGGTTTTACTGCTGCCCTGCCCATGTCCCCCCACCAGCCTCACGTCCTCTTCCCCTAGCGCTTACGTGCCCCGCCAACCCTCTTCCTACCCCACACCCCCCCCTTTTCTCTCTCTCTCCCCTTGCATCTTCCCCCCTCTCTTAATTATATAACCTCTTGCCATGGCAGCTCTCCCGCCGACTTCAGCATTTCTTGCTGTGGTTGTCCCACCTGATGAAGATCGCTTGTGTTGCGATCAAAACGTCGCGATTTATTTTATTTTTACCTACATGACTTTACCGAAAGAACCAAAGAGTATGGATCCCTGCGGTCACGAAAACTTCAAATCTAGATTTAACACTAATACCCTCTAAAGAACTAACCCTCAAGACGCCTAACCTTTAAAACACCTATACCCCTAAAACGCTAACCCTCTAAACACATAACACTCTAAGCCCCTAACCCTCTAAACCCATAATAAATATATTTTCGGGTTAGATGGTGTAAATATAAATGTGTCGTTAAACCAGACACCACCCGACACAGCCAATTAGTAAAGTTTGTCATGACAATAAAAAGTGCCATTAAGTGTTGGAGAGAAATCCAAAACACCATTAGTATGGATAATATTAGTTGTCAAAGTCTTGGTGTTAAACCCTCTAAACTCCCAAATCCCAAAACCCATAACCCTCTAAACCGCTAAACCCCATTACCCTATAAACCCCTAACCCTCAAAACCCCCATACCTCTAAACCCCTAAACACATACAATTATAACCTCCTCAACTCCTAACCATCTAAACCATTCAACCTCTAACAATCGAAACCCATACATCTCTAAACACCTAACTCTCTAAACCCCCAACCCTCTAACCCCAAAATCTTCTAAACTCTAACATTCTAAACACCTAATCCTCTAAACGACCTTACCCTTAAAACCCTAACTGTCTAAAAACCTCTCCCTCGAAAACCCCACCCATAAACCCCAAAACTCTAACTGTCTAAACCCCAAACCCTCTAAATTCCGCAACCGCTAAAACCGTAACCCTCTCGGCACCTAACCTGCTAAACCCCTCACCCTCTAAACTCCTACACCACTAATAGCCCAATCCTCTAAACACCTAACACTATAAAGCCCTTTAACCTTAAAACCCTAACCCTCTAAACCCCTAACCCTTGAATCCCCTCAAGCGCTAACACTCTCAACCCCTAAACCCTCGAAGTCTATAAACCACGAAACCCCTTATCCCCGAAACACCCCGAAACTTCTAAGCTCCTAACCCTCTAAACCACTTAACCTATAACAATCGAAACCGATAAACCCATTAAACAGCTACTTCTCGAAACCCATAACACTCTAAACCCCTCTATCCTTAAAACCCTCACCCTCTAACTCCCTAAACCTCTAAACATCTAAACCCATAACCCTGTAAAGCTCTAAACGGCTCAACATATAATCCTCTAAATCCCTAACCCTCTAAACGCCTTTACCCATTAAATCAAATCCTTTCTAAACTCCTCACCCTTTGAAACCAGAACCCAAATACCCTGAAACCCCAAACCCCCTAACACTCTAAACCCCTTTACCGTTTAAATCCGAATTCTTAAAAGCCCTAGATCTCTGCACCCCTAACCCTCTAAACACCAACCCTCTAAATCCCTAACCCTTAAAATCCTCAACCCCTAAAACGCTCAACCCCTAAACACCATAACCCTAGAAACCCCCAAAACATCGAAGACGCTTATCCCCTAAAAAACCCCAAAACCTCTAAACCCTTAACACGTAACCTTATAAACTCCAAGCCCTCTAAACCACTAACCCTTTAACAATCGAAACCCATAAACCGTCTAAACCTCAGGAGACCAAACTCCTTACAATTATAACCCTATAAACCCATAACCTTCTAAACTGTACCCCTCTAAAACCCTAACCCTCTAAGCTAATCACCCTCTAAACCGCTAAACCTCTAAAACATTTTACCCTTAAAACCCTTAGCCTCTAAACCCCTAAACCTCTAAACCACACACCCTCTAAATAACTAACCCTCTAAACCCCTAAACCCATCACCCTGTAAACCTCTAAACCCTTAACTTATAATCCTCTAAATCCCTAACCCTTTAAACCGATTTACCCATAAAACCCTATCCATCTAAACTCCTCACCTTTTGAAACCATAACCCAAATACAACAAAAATCCCAAACCCCCTAACACTCTATACCCCTTTACTGTTAAAACCATAATTCTATAAACCCCTAGATCTCTCCACCCCTAATCCTTTAAACACGTAACCCTCAAAACCCTTAACCCTTTGTGTGGAGTGTGGTGTGTGGTGGTTGTCACGGGGTAGGTGGGTGCAGGGTGTGTGTGAAGTGTGGTGGGTGTGGGTGCAGGGGGTGTGTGGAGTGTGGTGGCTGGTGGGTGTCACGGGGTGGGTGCAGGGTGTGTGTGGAGTGTGGTTGGTGTCACAGGGTGAGTGGGTGCAGGGTGTGTGGAGTGTGGTGGGTGGTGCGTGTCACGGGGTGGGTGGGTGCAGGGTATGTGGTGGGTGATGGGTGTCACGGGGTGGGTGGGTGCAGGGTGTGTGGTGAGTGGTGGGTGTCATGGGGTGGGTGAGTGCAGGGTGTGTGGAGTGTGGTGGGTGTCACAGGGTGGGTGGGTGCAGGGTGTGAGTGGATTGTGGTGGGTGGTGGGTGTCAAGGGGGTGGGTGCAGGGTGTGTGGTGTGTGGTGGGTGTCACGGGGTGGGTGGTTGCAGGGTGTGTGATGTGTGGTGGGTGTCACGGGGTGGGTGGGTACAGGGTGTGTGGTGGGTGATGGGTGTCACGGGGTGGGTGGGTGCAGGGTGTGTGGTGTGTGGTGGGTGTCACGGGGTGGGTGGGTGCAGGGTGTGTGGTGTGTGGAGTGTGGTGGGTGTCACGGGGGGGTGGGTGCAGGGTGTGTGTGGAATGTGGTGGATGGTGGGTGTCACGGGGTGGATGGGTGCAGGGTGTGTGTGGTGTGTGATGGGTGGTTGGTGCCACGGGGTGGGTGGGTGCAGGGTGTGTGTGTGGAGTGGTGGGTGGGGTGTCACGGGGTGGGTGGGTGCAGGGTGTGTGTGTGGAGTGTGGTGGATGGTGGGTGTCACGGGGTGGGTGGGTGCAGGGTGTGTGTGGAGTGTGGTGGGTGTCACAGTGTGGGTAGGCGCAGGGTGTGTGTGAAGTGTGGTGGGTGGTGGGTGTCACGGAGTGGGTGGGTGCAGGGGGTGTGTGGAGTGTGGTGGCTGGTGGGTGTCACGGGGTGGGTGCAGGGTGTGTGTGGAGTGTGGTTGGTGTCACAGGGTGAGTGGGTGCAGGGTGTGTGGAGTGTGGTGGGTGGTGCGTGTCACGGGGTGGGTGGGTGCAGGGTATGTGGTGGGTGATGGGTGTCACGGGGTGGGTGGGTGCAGGGTGTGTGGTGAGTGGTGGGTGTCATGGGGTGGGTGAGTGCAGGGTGTGTGGAGTGTGGTGGGTGTCACAGGGTGGGTGGGTGCAGGGTGTGAGTGGATTGTGGTGGGTGGTGGGTGTCAAGGGGGTGGGTGCAGGGTGTGTGGTGTGTGGTGGGTGTCACGGGGTGGGTGGTTGCAGGGTGTGTGATGTGTGGTGGGTGTCAAGGGGTGGGTGGGTACAGGGTGTGTGGTGTGTGGAGTGTGGTGGGTGTCACGGGGTGGGTGCAGGGTGTGTGGAGTGTGGTGTGTGGTGGGTGTCACGGGGTGGGTGGGTGCAGGGTGTGTGGTGGGTGATGGGTGTCACGGGGTGGGTGGGTGCAGGGTGTGTGTGGAATGTGGTGGATGGTGGGTGTCACGGGGTGGATGGGTGCAGGGTGTGTGTGGTGTGTGATGGGTGGTTGGTGCCACGGGGTGGGTGGGTGCAGGGTGTGTGTGTGGAGTGTGGTGGGTGGCGGGTGTCACGGGGTGGGTGGGTGCAGGGTGTGTGTGTGGAGTGTGGTGGATGGTGGGTGTCACGGGGTGGGTGGGTGCAGGGCGTGTGTGGAGTGTGGTGGGTGTCACAGTGTGGGTAGGCGCAGGGTGTGTGTGGAGTGTGGCGGGTGTCATGGGGTGGGTGGGTGCAGGGTTGTGTGTGTGTGGAGTGTGGTGGATGGTGGGTGTCACGGGGTGGGTGGGTGCAGGGTGTGTGTGGAGTGTGGTGGGTGTCACGGGGTGGGTGGGTGCAGGGTGTGTGTGGTAGGTGTGGTGATAGTGGTCATGGATCAGACCGATCAACGACCACCACCATCTCTACTGTGCGGTGGACCGGCCACCACACAGCAGCACGCGTCGGAGGAGTGAGCGGATGACTCTCCCCATGCGGGCCAGGCCCCCTGGCTTCCTCTTCTCCTGCATCACCATCACTTGATCCTCTTTCCTTGTTTTCTCCTTCTCCTCCACCACCATCTCTTCCACAACGATCTCCTCCACCATGGTGTCCTCCTCCTGCACCACCAGCTCCTCCACCAGTGTCTCCTGCACCACCAGCTCCTCCAGCAGAGTCTGCTCCTCTGGCAAAACCAGCTCCTCCACTAAGGTCTCCTCCTCCTGCAAAACCAGCTCCTCCACCAAGGCCTCCTCCTCCTGCAAAACCAGCTCCTCAACCAAGGTCTCCTCCTCCTGCACCACCAACTCTTCCACCAGAGTCTCCTCCTCTTGCACCACCAGCTCCTCCACCAGAGTCTCTTCCTCCTGCAACACCAGCTCCTCCACCAGCGTTTCCTCTTCCTCCACAACCTTCAGCCTCCATTCAGAGGCCCAGGCGAGCAAAGAGAATGGGGGCAGCGCCGGCTCCGCTCTGTGAAGAGATGGGCACGACATTGTTCCAACTTACTGCTACAGCAGAGATCGCAGCCATACCCTCCCCCACCATCGGGGGGGGGAGGGGGGGAGCTGGCGATGTCACAGTGGATGAAGGGTTACCTACATGGCAAAGATATGGCCACTTCATTATTTGTCCTCACCCAGAAAGCAATAATAAAAATACATCCGTATATAACCGAATGTACAGGTGAGATTTGAACTCTCCGTGTGTTAGTTTGTGGGCGGCAGGGCTGGAACTCACAGCCAAAGAGGGACCTGGGTTTGATGCCCATACTTGGGCCACTTTCTCCATGTGGGAGTTGTGACTTGCCCTGGGCCCCACACCTCTCTATGGACTGCCTTGAAAATTGGTCAGCAGAATGTGGGTTACCGTCGTTCAGCAGCTCCAAAGCACTGGACACGGCCAGGAGTAGCAGTGGTGGTGGCATTGCTGGTGGTGCTGGTGGCCACGGTCCGGAGCCAGCTGTGATCCAGCGCCTGCGCTGGCGTCATACGAGAATCCGGAACCCATCTGTTGAGAGACGCGTGGGAGACACACGCGCCACACGTAGTGAGAGAAGCGTGGTGAGAGCATTGAAGTTGCTTCCCTTCCCCTACAAGGTCAGGAATGCACGGCAGCAGCGGAAGCAGCAGGAACAGTGGCAATCCTCTGATGCCCAGTAGACTAAAAATGCCCCGAGCATCGCATTGGCCAGCAGCATCTTGCACGGACCTCCCCATCCTCCACAGAGGGCGATCTTGACACCGGTGGTACTGCACATCGGCAGTCCCACTCAGCTCCACATTTTCCTGGCGATCGGTGGAGAGTGATCGCCGATCAATTGGAGGGGGGGATCCTCATTGGGAGGGGGTGGTGGGTGTGTCTTACCGCAGACAGAAGCTGACGAATTCCACAAACGCCGGGTCGTGGCTTTTGAGCACCCTTTCAAGTGGGAAGCTCCCCGGTACTCTTTTCTTGCCTGGGCACATCATCTTCCCTTGACGGTCTGCGGGAGCCATGCACAGCGGGACAGATGCAGTCACCAACCACCACGTCACCTACTTACCCACTTACCGACCCATCCATCAACCTACTCACCCACCCACCCACTCTTCCACCTACACAATCACTCACTCACCTAGCCACCTACCCAATCACCGAACCACCCCCCACTCACCCGCCCACCCGCTTACCCACTGACCAATTCGCCCACTTACCCTACAACCTACTTGCCCACACACCGACTTACCCACCCACTCACCCAAGGAATTTAAAATAAAAAGAGGCCATTCCCCCCCCCCCCTCCCACCAAAAAAATAACAACAGCCGCAGGCCTCTTCTTAAAACTGAATCCGGTCCGTCACTCGCACCACCCTTTAACTCACCAAAAAACTGCCTTCTGTCGGGAGCTGAATTCACCATGTATCGTGGAGGCATTCCCAGAATCTGCACATGGTTGAGACAAAGACAAAGGTCACCCGTGTATCCTCGGCTGACTGTAGGGGCAAGTGCTGTTAGTATAGCGTAACAACAGCAGCAGCGCTTGTTGAGGGCAAGCATTATGGCACACAGAGACAGGGGGTGGTGGGCCACATTGACCCAGGTATTTTACACACTGCACTAGGTACTCATTTAAGGCTGAGTCTAACTAAGGGAGGCCCAGGACCGGTTCAGATAATCATCACTAGTGTGGGCCATGAGCGCAGCATGCTAACCGCTACACTACTGCTCCCCTCACACGTACAAGATGGACACGTGTACACTCATACACAACATACGACGGCCGCTATTCGCCAGATCACTAAGTGGCCACCTCCCCTCCTGCCACCCCCAAAACCCACGACTCCAAGGAAAGAGAGGGGCATCACGAGCGGATGGACGCCCAGTGGGAAATACCTCAATGCAGCGCGGGAGGTAATCTTTGTCACTGTCGGACTGAAATAATTGCCTGCCCGTCGCCAACTCCGCCACCGTGCAACCCAGCGCCCACATGTCTACGCCACAGGTCAAGCTGTAGCCCAAGTGCAGCTCCGGAGCCGAGTATTCCAGAGTCCCACCAACATTCATAGCTGCACACCAATCACAAGAACAACACATATATGTGTTTGTGTACTCACTGTTTCTTAAACAGCATCTTCATCACACACATGAACAGTCACATGTACAGACATGCAGATACTCACACATATACACAATCAGACAAACACCCACACGCAGACGCTCACACACCCAGGAGAGGTCACTCACGTTGACTTTCCACAAAAAAGCTCGTGCCAAAGTCCGTGACCCTCACAGTGCCGGTCACGGTGTCCTTGATGAGAACATTTTCCTGCAGGAGAAGGGGCAGAATGAATTCAAATGCAGAGGTTATGCCGATAACATTCAGCCAGCAGTGGAACGATCACGTACCACCACCTACGCTAAACAGGGGAACTAGACGAGGCGTAGTGCCGTCAACGAGCGTCAGTCAAGTGCAACATTTGATGTTTGTTGACAGCTATTACTGGGAGTTGCCCCTTTCAATTGCATCTAGAAAAGAGATTTGATTTGAGGCTCATGTTCAAAGCACTCTAAGGGACCATCGAAGTAAAGGAGGGCAGCTCTATTGACAACTGATCGTGGTTCCTCTGACAGGAGAGTCGCATTGAGCTCACAGCTGCAAGAGTGCCCTTTAACGGGTTACGGACCAAAAGCTACACATGAGATCTCGCGTATTCCATGACGCTATCCACCGCGCGTTTGTCTTCGGAAGTTTTCCATTCGCAGTGTGGAAGCCGACAACGGGCAGCTGTCAGGTCAAAATACACGTTTGGCACACTTAGGAAATAGTCTTTATTTGCTCCAGTTTCTGTCTCCGAAGGACTGGGGCAACGCTGTGATCAACGTTGCCGGTTTTGTCTATGGTGAGTCCCCAATACCGACACGACTCTACACTACAGTTTAATTCATACCGCATTATCTTCACCAGGGGTACAATGACCCTGCCTCCTTCCAGTTAGATGGAAACAGCGAACGCATAGACCTTGTGACTAATGTGGCCGGTTTTCTCCGTGGAACGATTCCCTACTAACAATACGCCTCTGCAACAAAATCATACTGAATGCTGTGTCCACTCACTGGCTTGATGTCCGCGTGAACTATGTTCCTGGAAGAGATGTGGGACAGGAACATGAGGATTCCCCTGGTATAACTTTTCACCATTTCCATGTCCAACCGGAACCCCGATTCTCTCATCACATCATAAAGGCTCTCCCTGTGAGAGAGACAAAAGCAGAAACAACACCAACACAGTGTCAGTGTCATCTCCTTAAATGCTGTGCTGATTCTGCTAACAACAATCTTAATATTGTTCGTGCATGTTCACGACCAATATTCAGAGTCATAGTTCAGTGTAGGTTCAGGTCGTTGGTTTGTCGATAAACCAAATTAGTTGGCTCATTTGCCCACTTGACAACTTGATTTCATTGGCATTTTTGCCAGGTGGTAGAGGGTTATCCATGGGGAGAAGATAACAACTCCGCCTTTTTCCCTCCACATTTCGAATCGACATGCATTCATAGTATTTGGCTGCTATACATTTCCACGTGATAAGTTACTTTGTTAAGCTATCATTTGTGGGCAGGTCGCTTACAAAAAAATAACTAATAGGTCAGTGGACTTTCCCACGAAAACAAAAAAGTTTGTTTAGTTAATCAGTTAACCACGCTATTAGCGGAGGGAGGGGGAGATGGAACACGCGGTACATACTTCAACAGCTCCAGGACAAGGCAGTGGTGTCCCCTGAAATCAAAGCTGTTTAGGACTTTGATGACGTTGTAATCTTCATTGCTGTCCTCACTCTGAAGTTCCAGAGCAATCTGGAGCTCCATCCTCTGCAATGTTTCTTCCTTGGAGCTGTGCAGAGGAAGTCCACAAATTAATAACTTACACTTGCTTAAGGGACACCCAGAGGCAAATGCTATTCAGAATTAATAATTAAATATACTTTCACCAGGTCTAACGGCATTGTGAGCTAGAGTAGCGTTCTCGACTCTCATTGGTACCATACGGGGCACAGGAGCTGGCGTAGGGTACCCAATAGGATTTGAAGGTGAAGAGCCATTCAAATCGGATTGGTCATTCGGGAAAACTAAATGCAAACGCCCGTTAAAACAACGCGTTTTCGTTATAACGTGGTTCTTCAACACTTTTTACACAATGCAGAATGTGTCCGTTGTAACAAGAAACGCGACCATTACACCATGGAACACGCACATTCTAACAAGATACGCACCCATTATAACACGGAATAAGCCCATCATAACGTGGTTTGTGAGTAGTCGACAACAAAATACTTTTTTGAGCTGCACTGTTGAGCGGTATGATACAGTACTCGGAATGATAAAAGTAACGTGACAGCATAGCCTCATTATGAGACCTCCTTTGCCAGTAACAAGATATAGTAATAGGTTTTACCCTTTTAACTGGCACAAAAACTGACACCTTTATTCAAGGCATCATGTTTGCAATAACCACAACACAAGCAGTCAAAATGCAAACAAAAGAGACAACTCTGATAATAATATGCACTGTCCTTGAATTTGATTGGTCCACACCCGAGACGGCTTTTCTTAGAGCCTAGTCTCCACTCTTCTGGTCCAACACCAGTGGAGACTAAGCTCTAAGAAAAGCCGTCTCGGGTGTGTTGAGCTCTGTCGTCCCGACAGGTCTGTAACTTTCACCTGAAGACGGCCGCTTGCGTTGTGGCCGAAACGTCGTGAGAATTTTATTGTATTATTTTATTATTTTATTCTCATTCTACGTGACATTACCGAAAGAACCAAAGAAGGTGTCAGTTTTTGTGCCAGTTAAAAGGGTAAAACCTATTACTATAGCATAGCCTCAGTTATTGGTCTCATCATCTCACAGTGTATGCATACATTGCATCTCGCCAAACTTTATTGTTACATTATTTATGGAGAGATTCTTTTCGCTCAATGCTTTTTCGCTTAACGCGGAACTTTTCATGAATGTATCTACAGCATTAAATGATGACTTACTGTAATGTGGAGGTAATCTTGTAGCAATGGGATGTTTTGGCCGATACCAGTTCACACTGTGTGTGTATGTATTTTAAGCTTTAGAGACGAAAAACCAGAGTACCTAGAAGGAACCGATGCAGAACAGGGGTAGAAGGTACACACTCCACACACGATGGTGCCCGAGTCAGGAGCCGAACCAAGGCCCCCCTTCTCGCTGTGAAGCATGAGTGTCACCACCGCATTGCACGGCAATGGACTTAACAACGTCGGCCTCGTGATGGCACGTCTCTGAAGTCTTACCTCGACGGTGACACCAGGATCTTTACAGCTACCAGGGTGTTCCTCTTGTGGTCAAGGCACTGGATCACCTGGCCTTGACCTCCTTCCCCAATCATCTTGAGCACCTCATAGCGGTAGTGGAGGTGATCATGTCGGAACTGAACAAAAGGTACAATCATTTAAACTGACTATTGTTAAAATCACAACGTTTAAGAAGTGCGAATGTAATTTTAACAAAAACATTTGCTTGGAATTATGAAGTTATTTTTAACCATAATTTGGAATGCTCAGATGTCTGCTGGCTGAGTCACCCTTAAAAAGAGCTTCTGAGCTCAATGGGCTTTACTCGGGAAATAAACTTCTGATTCAGATGTGTGCGGGTGAGTGCATTGGTGAGTGGGCGAGTGGGTCGGTGAGTGATTGAGTGGGTGAATGAGTGAGTGAGTCAGCAAGTGAGTACGTCTGGGGGTGGGTGAGTAAGTGTGTGAGTGGGTGTAATTGTCGAATGCTTTGATACTGTCTGCTGGCGAAGATTCCCCTTGAAAAATTGCTTCTTATCTAAAAGGGCTTTACTCGGGATTAAACATTCTGATTTTGAAGCGCGTTGGTGTGTGCCCTGGTTGGTAATTCAGGTGCAATAAGAAGCCACAAACCCCGCTACCTCTGGGCCCTGTGACCGCCCCCAAGGCTGTAGTTTTGTGGTGAGCCTCACCAGAATGTAATTACGTTCGTCGTCATCATATCCATGCCTGTTGCATCCCTTGGGTTTGTTGTCGAGCGCAAAGTACCACACTTCTTGCATGGCTGCGAGCTCCAGCTTTTCACGATCGGTCAAGTGAGGGCCAAAGTGAGCCAGGATTTCTGTAGGCACGAGGAGAATAACAACAACAACAGGTGTGTGAACCAAAATTTTGAGCAATTTATAGGGTAAATATTTCAGGATTGGGATGTTTTTGCCAATCCCAGCTATGTATGTTGAAATTATTTTGCACCGTATGTAGCCAATGGTGCTAATCAACAGTGTGGGGGAAGGTTAATAAACTAACCACGCAAATAGGTTCCACACATCTGTTAGAACC